ATCAAAATGTTTTAATGGGTGGGTATCAGTTTGGAGGAGTGGGGCATTCTTAGTGTGATGGTGAGCCTCCATGAGAGGTGAGTCAGGCAGGGCCGGATTTCCCACAAGGCCAACCAAGGCCCAGCTTTGGGGCAGCAGGGAGTAGAGGGGCAGCAGGGTGTGGAATCCCTATCTCCTGATGTCCGGGACATGCAGTTCCAGGCACCAGGTGGGTAGTTGTTTTCTACATTTAGCCCTGCTTTGGGCAAGCAGATCTAAATGTCCTGCCGATTCTTGTGTTTAAGTGATCTCGGTAGTGCCACAGAGATCACTTGTATGCAGCCTGCAGATCTGCCATTCTCCAATGGAGTTGGCGGGTAGGGTGGCACATTGAGGAACCTGGCCTTGGGGCAGCAGAGAGAGTAAATCCGGCCCTAAGTCGGTAGTGCCACCGAGATCACTTGTATGCAGCCTGCAGGTCTGCCATTCTCCATGGGGGGGGGGTGCCCTGTTGGCCACACTATCACCTGCGCGAGGGGTCCCGCCCCTTCCAGTCTGTAGCATTGGCCACACGAGCACCGCAGGAGGACAGGGCAGCGCTCATGAGAGGAGTCCTGGGAAGCTGCTGCAGTGCAGGTAAGGAAAGACAGCAAGGAGAGAGAAGAGACAGCAAGAGGAGATAGAGAGAAGAGACAGCAGAGAGAGAGATAGAGAAGAGATAGCACTGAGAGAGAGAAGAGACAGCAGAGAGAAAGAGAGAAGTAACAGCTGAGAGAGAAGAGAAGAGACAGCAGAGAAGAGAGTGAGAAGATACAGCAGAGAGAGAGATAGAGAAGAGACAGCACAGAGAGAGAGAGAGAGAGAGAAGAGACAGCACAGAGAGAGAGAGAGAAGAGACAGCACAGAGATAGAGAGAAGAGATAGCACAGAGAGAGAGAGAGAGGAGACAGCACAGAGAGAGAGAGAGAGGAGACAGCACAGAGAAAGAGAGAGAAGAAACAGCAGAGAGAGAGTGAAGAGACAGCAGAGAGAGAAGAGACAGCAGAGAAGAGAGAGAGAGAAAAGAGGCAACAGAGAGAATAGAGACAGAGAGAGAGAGCGTGGAGAGAGAGAGAGTGTAAGGAGAGATAAGAGACAGCCGAAAGAGAGATACAGGGGAGAGAGAATGCAAGAAGAGAGAGCACGAAAGAGAGAGGCAGTAGTCCAAGTAACGATTGTTTTTTAAATAAAGCTGATTTTTCCTTGGTAGATCTCATTGAGCTCGTCATTTGAAAAGTAGATCTCAAAATAAAAATTGTGGGCACCCGAGGCTAGATGATGTTGGTCTCCTCCAGCCAGGGAATGAGGCGGGCTCTATCCGACTTGCCGGAGCTTCTAATGCACGTTGCCGGAAACCCACAGTGTGCAGTGGAATCAGAATAAGCACTTTCATTCCAGGAGAAGAATAAGTACAACTGTCCAAGACTGAAGGTAAGGCTGTAGCTGGATTTCCCTGACAGCTCCATGGCAGCACACAAATGGTAGGGAGGCGGGGCCATCCCAATTTGTGCTGCCATGGAGCCAGTCAGGAAAGGAAAATTGCGGTAAGTATGAAATACAATTTTCCTGGTATTGTACGAAGGGGTTTTGTTTTGCATCAAGCGGTGGAAGTCTTCACTGTCCAAAAATTTTACACCAATTTTTTTTACATATTTTGACAAAATAAAAGAAACAACAAATGACAAAATGTCCTCATGGCATCCTACACCCAATGACACCCATTGATGAGCTGCACGTGGACATTTCTGGAGGAAGACCAATCCTTTGATCCCTATTTGCCAATTTTTTATATATTTTGTTCCATTTATTTTACTTTTCACTAAGTAATACATTTCAGCGAGTTGTCACATTGAAAAAAAAACATCTACATTTGGCAGTAAAATGGAGGAAAATAAAAACAAGTACTTTGCCCATCATTACATAAAGCTTTAGGCTTTGGAGGACCAAACTACCATAAACAGGACCAAGGTGTGACACCAGACTATTGCCTGGAATCTGAAATGCCAGAGAAGAGAGTAGACGGGGCAAGATGGGGGAGGTGAGCCAGTAAGACAAGCTGCATCTTAAAGTGCTGCCTGTCAGTGGTTTGGGTGGGGAACTTTGAGAGATGTCACAATCTGTCTTTGATACTGACACTTTCTTACAAGTGTCTATCTCAAGGGCCCCTCTCGTGTTTCACACTGAAAATGACACAGACGCCCAGGCTACCTATCCCCTGCACACACCTCCTCTTATCCCCAGACACTTCCATTGCTCTAGTGTGTGCCCACTTGCCAGCCACAGCTTCAAGAGCACATATGTAGGCATTGTACAGAAAGCTGCACAAAGACCATGCCATACAGGGGAATACCTGCAGATGATGAGTAGAGAAAGAGATCTATCACCATTTTCCATTCACCTATCCATCCATCTATCCGTCCAGCTATCTATCCCTCTTACTATCCATCCATATATCCCTCCGACCATCCATCTAACCATTTATCTATCCATCCATATATCCCTCCATCCATCCAGCTATCCAACCATATATCCCTTCCTCCATCCATCTAACCATTCATCTATCCATCCATATATCCCTCCGTCCATCCATCTAACCATTCATCTATCCATCCATCTATCCATCCCCCTATCTATCCCTCTAACTATCCATCCATCTATCCAACCATATATCCCTCCATCCATCCATCTAACCATTCATCTATCCATGACTCTAACCATCCATCTATCCATCCATATATCCCTCCGTCCATCCATCTAACCATTCATCTATCCATCCATATATCCATCCCCCTATCTATCCCTCTAACTATCCATCCATCTATCCCTCCATCCATCCATCTAACCATTAATCTATCCATGACTCTACCCATCCATCTTTCCATCCATATATCCCTCCGTCCATCCATCTAACTATTCATCTATCCATGCCTCTACCCATCCATCTATCCATCCATATATCCTTCCGTCCATCCATCTAACCATTCATCTATCCATCCATATATCCCTCCATCCATCTATCCATCCCCCTATCTATCCCTCTAACTATCCATCCATCTATCCCTCCATCCATCCATCTAACCATTAATCTATCCATGACTCTACCCATCCATCTTTCCATCCATATATCCCTCCGTCCATCCATCTAACCATTCATCTATCCATGCCTCTAACCATCCATCTATCCATCCATATATCCCTCCATCCATCTATCCATCCTCCTATTCATCCCTCTAACCATCCATCCATCTATCCCCCCATATATCCCTCCCTCCATCCATCCATCTAACCATTCATCTATCCATGCCTCTAACCATCCATCTCTCTAACCATCCATCCATATATCCCTCCCTCCATCCATCCATCTAACCATTCATCTATCCATGCCTCTAACCATCCATCCATCTATCTAACCATACATCTATTCATCCATATATCCCTCCATCCATCCCTCTAACCATCCATCCATGTATTCCTCTATCCATCCATATAATCATCCATTCATCTATCCATCCACCCCCCATACTGTGTAACCGTCCATCTGTCTACCCGTCCGACTATTCACCCATCCATCATCCATCTATATATCCCTCCATCCATGTAACCATCCATCCATCCCTCTAACCATCAATCCACTATCCATCACTTCATCCATCACTGTATCTATCTATCTTTCTATCTATCTATCTATCTATCGAAATACATTAGATAGATAGATAGATAGATAGATAGATAGATAGATAGATAGATAGATAGATAGATAGATAGATAGATAGATATACAATGGATGGATAGATAGATAAATTGACAATAGATAGATAGATAGATAGATAGATAGATAGATAGATAGATAATGGACAGGTAGATAGATAGATAATGGATAGATAGATAGATAGACGATGGATAGATAGATACTGTAGATAGATTGAGGATGGATAAATAGATAGATAAATTGACGATAGATAGATAGATAGATAGATAGATAGATAGATAGATAGATAGATAGATAGATAGATAGATAATGGACAGGTAGATAGATAGATAATGGATAGATAGATAGATAGACGATGGATAGATAGATACTGTAGATAGATTGAGGATGGATAAATAGATAGATAAATTGACGATAGATAGATAGATAGATAGATAGATAGATAGATAGATAGATAGATAGATAGATAGATAATGGACAGGTAGATAGATAGATAATGGACAGGTAGATAGATAGATAATGGACAGGTAGATAGATAGATAATGGATAGATAGATAGATAGATAGATAGATAGATAGATAGACGATGGATAGATAGATAGACGATAGATAGATAGATAGATAGATAGATAGATAGATAGATAGATAGATAGATAGATAGACGATGGATAGATAGATAGATAGATAGATAGATAGATAGACGATGGATAGATAGATAGATACTTATTTTTTCCAAACTGTATTCTAAAATCTTTTTCGTCTATCATTTTCCTTTGTCAGTTTCTCTTAAAAAAAGAACTAATTCAGATAAAGACAACACAGACAACACGGACAGCGAGTACTGGATACAACATCCCGAAAACAGGGAGTTTGCGCGGAGGTTGACCCAGGTTGAAAAGGAAGGAACTTTTCCCGGAAAGACGGATTTCCAGGGACAAATCCTGAAGAGCCGGGACTGTTCCTGGAAGTCAGGGTCACCAGGCAACAGTGTGACAGATAAAGGAAATCCAGAGGAATAGGCTGGCTGTGTGCAGCGGGCTTGTGGTTGGCAAACGTCTGCTGTTTGTAAACACAGTGTGCAAGCTGGAGAGGGCTGGGAAGTGACTCCAGAGACCCTTGTGGTGTGATGGACAGATCGGAGGGGTCTTCTAGACATTGGGCTGAGTGAGAAAGTTCTGCGATGGAGGTACCAAGCTAGGGGGCCCTACAAGATAGCAGCAGAGGAGAGAGGAACAGAGACAGATGCAGAGGAAGAAGTTGCATGGAGTTTTTACCTGTGATAAGCCGCATGTCGAGGCCCAGGAATAGTCAGTGGCTGGGGTTTGCTGGTAGTAGCCCAGCTGTCTCTTTAGTAGCCGGGGCAGAGAGTGCCATGTCTCGCTGTTACCTTCCTTTAAAACCAGACTGGGTGATCTGTGGGAGGGTGGAGGGAGAGGAGGAGAGAGGAAGGAGGGGGGAGCAGGAATTTTTGGGAGGGAGAGAGAATTGGAGCCTCTCCCCTGACGTCATATGAGTAACCACAGAGAAAAGAGAGAGAGAGAGAGGAAGTGAGAAGGAAGAGAGGGAGGGAGAGAGAGAAAGTTATCAGGCTCGGAGAGGGCAAGAGGTGCCAAGATCTGAGAGCCTGCGCCCACATCCCACCTAAGGACCCCGTTCAAGTCGGAATCCCTCACCTCAAGCGTCCCCCATACTTCTAGGCTTGTTCAAGAAGGCAAAGTGCAGCAAGCATCAGCCGTTAAAAGTAATCATCTCTAAATTAAAGTTGGGCTGCGGGAACAAAAACGTTCATTGAAATATATTCCTCAATAGCCACAGAGGATATTCAGATGTTACCTTGTAAAAGAAGCTGTGACATCATCGCTGTACTGTACATAGCCTGTGAATACAGAAGAGCTGTGGGAGGGGCCCAGCAGCTCCACCCACTATAGGCTGCCTGAAAAAAAAAAACGACAGGATGGGGCGGAGACAAGACCAGCCACCCTGCACAAGGAGAGAGAGCAGCAGTGACGGGTCTTTAATACAGGAAGCTCCTGTACAAAGTTTCGCACTGGATTACTGCACAGATCTCGAGTAACCGCACGATACCACGCAACTATCCTACCATGCATTACTATGCAGCAGATGTGTCGCATGTACTGCTTTTTTCAACTGAACCGAACGTGCGGGATTGCGGTACCGCTCATTGCGGTACCGCTCATTGCGGTGCAGTCAACCACATAGCAACCGGGAGGTGCATATAGGGTGCCATCCGAATGAATGGCAACGCAACGAACCTGCCGCAATGTAATGCACAATAAGTGCATTGCGCAGTACCACACAGAACCGCACCATTACCGCATGGCATAGGTGTGAATGGGCCCTCACACCTACGATGTCTATTGGTCCGGCCCTCCACAACAGTCCCAGTGTCTCATTTAGCACCTTGAGAAATATACCGTATTTTTCGCTCCATAAGACGCACTTTTTTTCCCCAAAAGGCGGGCAAAAATGTCTGTGAGTCTTATGGAGCGAATGTGTGGGAGCTGAGGCGGCGGGGCTGACAGTGTACCCAGGAGTGTGAAATTCCTATCGCCCGACGACCGGGACATGCAGTTTCGGGCGCCGGGCGAGTAGTTTTTTTGTACAAGCAGAGCTCGTGACCACGACATAGGAGCTCATCATAGAGCCCGTAGAGCAGACGAAGAACCGTCCGTTCTTCGTCTGTTCTGTAATCACAGCGCCACCTGTCTTAGCTGTCAGGAACTACACAGAACCCTACCCTCCCTAGGTGCGCCTTACGGAGCGGAAAAATACGGTAATTGCCCACCCCTGTTATACATAGATATAATTTTGTTTTTGTTAAAACTGCGGGCTGAATGAAAAAAAGAAATTATAGATTCCTCCGGCCACGTGCGGATGGGACAAATCTCCCGCTGGGCTGTTGTATTCTTACAGAGGTAGGTGTGCTGCCTTCAAAATGCCCAAATACCCAACCAGCTGCTGTCATTGTTTGCCATGAAAGTTTTCCAACCCCTTCGATTTTCTGATTGGTCAGAAGACTGAGTGAGTTTCAGCCATTTTTTCATACAGTAATTCATACAGTGATCGGCCAGCTTAAGGGCCTGCGGGCCATATGCGTCTGTTAAAACGCTGCATTTTCAGTGGCTGGGCTAGTGCGTTGTGGCAGCTCCGGCAATGTGTACAATATGTACTCTGTTTACACCCTATTCAGGTCCCGCACAGCAGAGCTGTTTGCTGAGCTGTCATGCAGCAACCTGTGGTGGCATCCAGTGCACTGCACAGTGCCCTCTGCATTGTGGTGTGAATGGGACGTATAGAAAACAATAGATTTCTATGTGCCCTGGACGTGATGTGCGTTGATCAATGTGATACAGTGCATGTCACTGCACAATGGGATGAATTAATCAAAACTGGAGCAGACAAAATCTGGGGCAGTTGCCCATGGCAACCAATCAGCTTTTCTGTTTCATTTTCAAAGCTTAAAGTGATATTAAGGTCAAAATGTTTTTAAGCGATTTGAGATGCTCTTTAACCACTTGCTGACCGCAGTGTTAACACCCCCTTCCTGGCCAGGCCATTTTTCAGTATTCAGCGCTGCGGTACTTTGACTGACATTTATTCCGTCATGCAACGCTGTACTGAAACAAATTTTATACCATTTTTTGGGGACAGATAGAGCTTTCTTTTGGTGGTATTTAATCACCACTGGGGGTTTAATTTTTTACTATATAACAGAAAAAGTACCGGTTTTCCCTTTATTATGCTAGGAAACATACCTAATAGGTTGGACTTGATGGACTAATGTCTTTATTCAACCTCAAATACTATGTAACTATGTAACAATTATTATTATCTGTTTTTTTGGTAAAATATAAAAGACGGGGTCACGTCGGGTAAATAAACACCACACATGTCAAGACTTAAAATTGCGCACGCCTGCGAAATCGCAAAAAAAAAAAAACTACCATAGTCAAAATTGTCCATAGGCGACGCTTTAAAAGATTTTACCGCTCATCAGTTTAGTGTTATCAGTGATTGATGGCCCTAGAATTATTGCTCTCACTGCGACGTTCGCAACTCCTCCCCACAGCTGTCAGATATAGGGCGCGAGGTATGAATCCACCGGCGTCCTGTTAATGTGGATTGACGCCGGAGGAAGTAGCCGTCTACCTTGCTATCACACAGGGACTTGTTATCTCCTGTGTGATAGCAATAAAGTTAGGTGGAAAAAAAAATGTGATTTAAAAAAAATTAATTAAAAATGTAAAAAAAATAATATTACATAATTAAATAAAAACATTTTACCCTAAGGAGAACTATGGGGAAAAACACTGACCCCATAGTTCTGGCTTTATATGTAATTTAACTCAGACTCTTAGTGACACTGATATCAGAGCTGGCAACATTCACATCCTTTTCCAGTAACAGTGATACCAGAATGTGCATTCTTCACCACTCTTCCTAAGGCCTTGTTCACACCAAATGCAGACCAGATCTGCATGAGTTTCTGCACATGCAGTACAGTGTGTTATACTGCGTTTTTTGATGCGTTCCAGGCTGTTTTTAGTTTTTAAAAAAAATAGTTTCAAATGGGCTTTCAGTGTGTTCCAGGGCGTTTGCATGCGTTTTTGATGCGTTCCAGAGCAGGTAAAAAAGGGCTTGCTGCAGTTTTTTTACATGCTCTGGAACTGAACGCTGCGGTGTGAACTAGAGCCCAAAATACCACTGGAATACATTAGACGCAGTTTGATCCGGTCAGTAACTGCTCTGCTCCTGGAACGCGCTTGGTGTGAACGAGCCCTTACACACTCATATCAGAACAGAGTTCTTCTTTAATACATACCTCACTAAAACAAAACAAAACGGCAAATGTTTTTCTTAAATTGTATTTTTTTTTTCAGCCCTGATCATAAAATAAAAATAGAAAATATGTACAAAATCTTTCCACATTCCCTCTACCAAACAAGTGCAGATTTCTGGAGTTTGCTGACGGTATATACAATGTTGCAAGATCTGAGGATGCACTAATCCAAGCTTTCCTGGCACTGGAAGAAGCAGTATGCAGGACGGGTTTTGTGGTTAATCAGGAGAAAACCAAGTACATATGTTGTTTAGAAGGGATGGAAAAGGCAAAAAGAAACCTCTAAAGGCTGTGGGCACATAAATGTACATACAGTAGGGGAAGTCAGTTTCTTATCCTGACACAGATTGGGAGAAGGATGGTAGCAAGTAAGTTAAAGCCAAACTCCAGACACCATTTGTTGTTGTTGGCAAAATTAGTTTTGGGAAGAATAGCATGCATCCTTTTTTTTTTTTTTAACAATTTTTATTTTAATTAGCAGACAAGAAAGAAATACACAAAATACAGAGGACATTGCCGTTGGTGCAGTATGCGTAATAAACAAGCCTAAGGAACCTTTAGTGATAATAACATCATATTACTGAGAGGCATATGTGTCCAATCCTGGTGAAGAAACTTACGTCCTTGCATGCAATATACAGAAATGAAAACATTTGTAGACAACGGTGATGTATAAAGTTGCATTGTACTGTAGCCATGATATATAGTTATATGCATGTGCTACTATAGAGATGTGAATTTTAACTGTGAAGGGTTAGTTGCCTCTGTGTGTGAAGATGGGCGGAGAACTGTGAGGATTGTAGTACAGAGTCGATATGGATACCTGAGTGAAAAGACATTGAGAACTACATCGCCAAGGGTGCTGTGCAAGAGGAGACAGGAGGACCATGGGTTGCAGCTACTGAGCGCGGTCAGTCTGGGACGTGTTCGGATCGACGTTACACAGTGTGCGTTAAGACTGCTTGTAATAGAGGTGTGTGGTCATCGGGACACCCAGGCTCTGTAACGCAGTGCTGTATAGACTGATGTCCGTTTGCTGAACTGAAGAGATGGTGACTGAGCGCCTGGATAGAGACCTAGTGACGCGGCAGCGGCGGTGATATCGCGGCCTGGACATGCGGCCGATCCAGCCACTGGAGTGACACGGTCAGCCCAGCTGAGGGAGCGGAAGTGAACGGAGCCAGCGGTGATCGTATCTGAGACCCTGATGACCTTAGACGAGCGGGGAAGTGTTCCAGGAAGCCATAGAAGACTTCTTCTTGCTATTAAGTGTTTTTCTGCCGGAAGAGGGACTTCCATCTGCTGTTGAAAGACATCTCCTTTCTAAGATAACTCGGGGAGTGGTGAGAGGCCTCTGGGCCAATGTGACAATGTACCTTTATGCATCTGCTACACAGTATGGGCCCCAACGTTGGCTAGCCTAGGACATTACTATTGGCCAGTAGTCTAGAGGGGGTGTGATACTTCCTAGGGGAGATATAATTGCTTAACTTCTCGGTCTCAAGACTT